AGCATCAACAAACACACAGCATCAACAAACACACAGCATCAACAAACGCACAGCATCAACAACCACACAGCATCAACAAACACACAGCATCAACAAACACACAGCATCAACAAACACACAGCGTCAACAAACACACAGCATCAACAAGCACACAGCATCAACAAGCACACAGCATCGACAAGCACACAGCATCGACAAACACACAGCATCGACAAACACACAGCATCGACAAACACACAGCATCGACAAACACACAGCATCAACAAACACACAGCATCAACAAACACACAGCATCAACAACCACACAGCATCAACAAACACACAGCATCAACAACCACACAGCATCAACAAACACACAGCATCAACAAACACACAACATCAACAAACACACAGCATAAACAAACACACAACATCGACAAACACACAGCATCGACAAACACACAGCGTCGACAAACACACAGCGTCGACAAACACACAGCGTCGACAAACACACAGCGTCGACAAACACACAGCGTCGACAAACACACAGCATCGACAAACACACAGCATCGACAAACACACAGCATCATAAAAACACACAGCATCAACAAGCACACAGCATCAACAAGCACACAGCATCAACAAGCACACAGCATCAACAAGCACACAGCATCAACAAACACACAGCATCAACAAACACACAGCATCAACAACCACACAGCATCAACAAACACACAGCATCAACAACCACACAGCATCAACAAACACACAGCATCAACAACCACACAGCATCAACAAACACACAGCGTCAACAAACACACAGCGTCAACAAACACACAACGTCAACAAACACACAGCGTCAACAAACACACAGCGTCAACAAACACACAGCGTCAACAAACACACAGCGTCAACAAACACACAGCGTCAACAAACACACAGCGTCAACAAGCACACAGCACCAACAAGCACACAGCATCAACAAACACACAGCATCAACAAACACACAGCATCAACAACCACACAGCATCAACAAACACACAGCATCAATAACCACACAGCATCAACAAACACACAGCATCAACAAACACACAGCATCAACAAACACAGCATCAACAAACACACAGCATCAACAAACACACAGCATCAACAAACGCACAGCATCAACAAACGCACAGCATCAACAACCACACAGCATCAACAAACACACAGCATCAACAAACACACAGCATCAACAAACACACAGCATCAACAAGCACACAGCATCAACAAACACACAGCATCAACAAGCACACAGCATCAACAAGCACACAGCATCAACAAGCACACAGCATCAACAAGCACACAGCATCAACAAACACACAGCATCAACAAACACACAGCATCAACAAACACACAGCATCAACAAACACACAGCATCGACAAACACACAGCATCGACAAACACACAGCATCAACAAACACACAGCATCAACAAACACACAGCATCAACAAACACACAGCATCAACAAACACACAGCGTCAACAAACACACAGCATCAACAAGCACACAGCATCAACAAGCACACAGCATCAACAAACACACAGCATCAACAAACACACAGCATCAACAAACACACAGCGTCAACAAACACACAGCGTCAACAAACACACAGCATCAACAAACACACAGCGTCAACAACCACACATCATCAACAAACACACAGCATCAACAAACGCACAGCGTCAACAAACACACAGCGTCAACAAACACACAGCATCAACAAACACACAGCATCGACAAACACACAGCATCAACAAGCACACAGCATCAACAAGCACACAGCATCAACAAACACACAGCATCAACAAACACACAGCATCAACAAACACACAGCATCAACAAACACACAGCATCAACAAACGCACAGCTGTTGCCGTTGGCGTCTCACCGTTCCCCGAGGCCACGGCACGCGCTTTGCTGCCTAAATCCGCTAAGAAGCACAATCGACTGTTTGCAACAACAACAAAAAAAGCTTAACCTGCAATCATGCACTTACTCAGGCTGGACACAAAGATTTGTTTCGGATGGGGTAATCTCATGAAAGAAGCTTTCAAGCCAGAAGCTTTGTCAACCCAGATATATATAGCCCAGTCAACACGAAATACGAACCATCCGCTGTTTGTGATACTAGCTTCATGTAAGGCTGTATTGTGGAAAATTATACATTCATTTTGTTTTGCTGGATGAAAAAAAAAACTGCTTCCTATTACACAATTGCTTCTTATTCCCAACACTGAGAACACAATTTTCACTCTCTGCTTGCAGCCTCTGCCACGTGCAATCCAAGCAAAATATTATGCAACTACAAATACGTAAATAACGTCCCACCTCACCAAGCCATGTAGACTATCGCCACCACCTCCGTGCATGTCTGAACAAACAACCCAAACAATCACCTGGTTGATATGCAGCTTGACATACTTTCTAAAGTAATTAACAGCACCTGGAGCTGGTTTTATATGTACTGAAGTAATACATCCGTGCGTGGTTGATGCATGTTACTGCACACATGATGAAATATGTTTTTGTTTAGTTTGTTTGCTGCATTGAAATGTTGAACCATAAAATAACTAGTGAATAAAATGTTACTGACAAATCCATATATATGTATTTATATAGAAAACTACCAAGCCACCTTGCGTCTTTCTGAAGGGTGAGCAAGACATTTTACGGTAATGGCCAACGACTGTTGTTGTTGTTGTTTTATTACCACTGACAGCGTCTGATCATAAAACACTCTTCAGAAGCGACACAGGTTTAATATTCACAATCACAGAGTTTATCCATAGATACAACAAATAAAAATTAAGGATAGTGATCATATCCTCGTTTTTTGCCCCCGAGTTATCCGGCGTAGATTAAGATTTCCCACTATAGTGGCCAGCTTCTCCACGAGACAGCCAACTTTTGACACCATACAAAAGTGTTACTGATTTTTATTATCAACCCTGCAACAATAATGGGCTGGACAAACCCCTGAACTGGAATTGAAATTGCAGCCTTCCAATTAATTGTGCGTGGAGCACTCTGTGACACACCCACCCGGTATGATTCACAACGATGAACGTGCTCGACAGATAAAAACACATTTTCATAGCAGCCCTCAAATGACGTATATTCAGCATGTAACCAGTAACAATAACTAACAACAGCATTGTATGACATCACGGCAGGATTTCAAAATGGACGTCTACATTTTTTTGTAATCTAAAAAAATATATCACTGTAATATAATTTATTAAAAGGTATTCCCCAGCTGGAATGTCAGAGAAGGCACGTGAAATAACAATAAAGGTGTATCGTAACTATTATCCCAGGAAAATATGCTGGTACTTATTTGTACAAGCAGATCCCTTGTAAAACGTGTTTTGTAATACGTTTTGAGACTAAACCAGCAACATTTTGCATTTACATCAGATTTTTGCGAATACAAATGTGGTGGTAGGTCCATTAGTGGTAATGATAACCCTGGTATGGAATTCTTGGTTTAAACTGATATATGCATTTGTAATTACTATGTAAGAAATAGGTGTGTGTAGATGTCGAGAGTGCGTATGCTAGGCATATGATGATGAATTGATTAATCACTTCTTCTTTAATTGAAATCGATTCATTTGTTCATTATACACGTATCGAATCATGCATGTGAAAAGCGATTATTTATAACTCATGCAAAGTATATGTCAACACTGCTTAGACTAATGAAGAGGATACAACTGTATACACCAGGTAGAAATAACTAAATCAATACAAAAGGGATTGGGAAAAAAAGGAGACAAACATAAATCGATTCTTTAATATAATTTTGGGCCGGATTAGTTAGTGAAAATGAATTGGGTCTCGGCGGAGGGGCGAATCAATACTTTCTTGATGTATGTATATGTGTGTGTATGCATCAGAGCACTCAAATATCGTGTCTTGGTATGACACTCGTGTACAATATTGGGAAGCTTTATAACATTCTCACGCTGACACCATAGCTCGCACATTCCTGAGATGAAATTGCAGAAGGAACGACCGAATGTTTTGTTTGCCTGCAATCCTGTGACAGCATCCTCTCTCTACCCCTAAGCTGGTGGCAACTGACCAGTTAAGTTTACGAAACTATGATGGCATCACTCTCCCTCCTCGTTGTTTGTGTCATTTAAACTGGCAGTCACGTGTAGACAAGCCAATCTCTTTTGTCTCTTCCCACTGTTTGATCCCGAGTGTGCTATCAACGTCACGAGATAAATGAATAAGAATGCATTCAGAAATTTCGCATGGCAGGGCAGGGAGTCACACCGCGTGAGAGAACAATTCAGCGGAAAGACGGACCACAGCACTGCTTCTGAAATGTTTTAAAGTGACCGCGTATCCGTACAAGGAGGCAACACTTTTCCACCCCCCTTTCGACAGAGACAAATGTTCGTCACATGACGGTGAGGCTGATAATTTTTTTTATTATTATTACGACTGAAATCTAACCAAATTGTCTCAACTCATGTTAAAAGCTATTATGGATTTATGATATTTTTTTGCACAGACATTGGAGACTGGACAGAGCCCATCAACTCGCTGCACTTCAGAACCGGGTTTAATCACGGACATCTGGCCAAATTTTAACGCCCAGGATTTCAGCGGTGCCAGCTTTTGCTCTGTCACCTCTGAGCTACCCAGCCGTCTGTGAGGCTGGCAAATCTAATGCCTTCCCTCCTGCCCCCGCTTGCCAGTGTCATGCATTGACCATCTCCATACTTGACAGCTCTGGTGTATAAACTAAACTTTTGTTTTTATTTACCAGGTAAGGCCCACTGAGTTACATAGCTCTCTTTCAAAAGCAACCTGGCCACAAATGATAGCTCAACGAAGTGACTTATTACATGGATATTTAGAGCAGCCAAATAATCTAAACTCATATTGATTCGAAATGTGGAAGGAAAAACCGGAGGACCCAGAGACGAAATCCACGCGACCACAGGGGGGAGAGACATGCAAACTCCAAATATACGGGTGTGATGGTCGGGATCGAACCCACGACCTCCTGCATACCAGGCGAGGTAGTTAACACCTCGCCTTTGGCGCCTCCTGCAGTGTAAAGGATTCACAATTATCCCACTCAGTAGGCGTTTCTCCGGCGAGGCTTTCTCACTGGTATCGTTCGTTTGCAGAAGCCAACCTACAGGGACAGACACAGGAGAGTCAGCAACTCTACCAAGTGAGCAATATTTCTTACACCTTACACTGTGCATATATGTACGAGTCTTCTTCATAAGTGCCGAAAGTGACAGTATCTATGGATTTATCAAAGATTAATTCATGACTGGATGAGTGCAGAAGCAGAAAAAATATTTGAACATGAAAACTGAACACAAATACAGTATCGAAATTTAACAAATAGAGTAAATCCAATTTTAACAGTAAATCGAAATTTAACAAATACAGTATTTAAATTTCAATGTCACGTAATATCATCAAATCTGTTGACCAAGGCATCATCATCAACCATGTTCTATCAACTGCTGGATAAAAGATAACCATACCATCACCATCTATCATGGCCTCAAAGTCCCACAATCTGTCTCTTTCCTGCACATGAGCTGATCTCATTATTTACTCCATATCTGCCGTGGTTATCCTCTTCCAGTGTGATCCTTCACTTCACTCCCATTCTGTCATCATTCGCGATTACTGTCATAATTCCATCCAGCGACAAGGCCTGCCTAAGTCCACTTACTTTTCTTAACAAACAATATAATTCTTATTCGTTCCCTGGTCCAGATGTTCTTCTTTCAGTTTCTCAGTATATATCCAATCATGTACCTTTCCATGCTTCTGTAATGTGCACTGCTTGAACACGTTCTTCTCTCGGGACAATCGTATATTGGAATGTGGATTAGCAATACAACATGAATGTCATCAAAAATGTATATAATTTGAAAAAAGATAAAAATATCGTATCTACAAATGTGGCATCACAAAATACATCATGTACCTTTCCATGCTTCTGTAATGTGCAAACAACGTCCACTCCAACCACAATGACTACTTAACTACAATGGCAATTGTTAAAGCTGCTGTAACTTCCTACCCAGGCACAAGCCCTTCCTGCCGTCTGTTGCCATGTATGTGCTAAAATGCCACACGCGATGACATTCTACATCAACACAACGGCAGTTGTAGCTTCATCATAAGAAGGATAGTGAATACCAACAGCCCATCCCACATATGTATACTTCAAGTAGATTCCCATCGTTCATATAATTTACATGCACAATGACTCTGCTGCCTTAATTATGGATACGATTCAAATCGGGTTATTTTGCAGCCGGTGCGTAGTCACTTTGCTGGCTCCGTGAGTCTGCGAGCGGACGCGAGGTTGGCACCTTTGTGGGCTCAGCGTGGGCTTGCACCTTGCGCTCTGCATGACGTGCGACAGGTACCTGCCACAGAACGAACGCGATGGCGCTGAGCACGAGCACCCCTGCCAGAGAGCTGAGCACAACGCTCCACGTCACAACGTCGACCACTTCTCGCGGCTCGTACTTGGCGTCCGCGGTGACCTGCAGGACCAACAAAGTCCACGCGAATTTCCAAACCGTCAAGTGCTCTGCTTAAGCATTAAAGCAGTGGATTACTCCAATTGCAGGAATGCTCCTTAAAGTCGTATCCTTTGCAAAATCGTGAAATCTTTGTTTCTGTAAATTAATGATCGAGTTGGCACACAGACAATGCAAACGTCACTAATTATGGGGGTGTGTGAATAACTACAGCAAAGAGATGAAAGTCCATTTTTAGAGAACAGTGAGTACCAACAGGACAAACAGATGACTTTTTCCAGCTGAGAAGCAGATTGAATGTATGTAACCTTTTTTTTGACCAGTAAATGACATAAACCCATTGAGACATATGAAACAACATTGCCTCTTCTCAAAAAGTTACCCGCATTTTTTAGGTTGGTACTTAATCCAAGACTGTACCAAGACCGTCAAACAACCGTCCACATTAAGTTTCATTTGGCGGTCCGCAAAGATAGAAATTTGAAGTGGCTAGTTTTGGGATGTACGTTGGATGTGCCAGAACATTACATCCAAGCTTGTCCCACAATACCGTGATTGTGAGTACGTAGAGTTGCCTTGAGTTAAAGCATCAAATGGCCCACCACTCCTCCTTTCATCATCGTAAGCGTGCTCACATCCTCATTGCAGCCGTTCCACTCGTTTATAAATGTTGTGCAGGTTCATTATTAGTTACATTTAAATTGTCTTTGCGATCTCAGGGAACATTATACATTGTTTTATAATATAAATTGTTTCATAATGTAAATTGTTTTATAATGTAAATTGTTTTATAATGTAGAGTTGCGCAAGGGTGCTACCATCTTCACCACATCTAAGTAAGTACGTTTATAAACGTGCAACTCTTATAATCACGAGTGTGCAATAATCGTACATTGTATCAAGAGTCAATGAAAGGCATATTGTACGCAGCTGCCGTAGTTAGTAATAACACCTGCCCGCCAGCTAAAAATGGGACTGTATAAACAATAGTTCACATGAGTACCAGGGTCATGCCCCATTCACTGCAGGTCTAACAAAATAAAAAAATACATAAATAACATCATTATTAAAAGTTTCTCTACTTCTTAAAATAAATGTGTAAATGTTTTGCTAGTAGGTCTTTTGGTTTTTCTTTAACAATAGACTAGATTTTCTTAAGTTTCTCTATGCTAATCAGTGTAATATATTGCAAAAACTAAAATAAACTGCTATTATAAATTATACTATCATGGGGCTAGATGTGTGATATAGTGATTAGCATGATTGCTTCTGGGTTCAGGCCTTGTGGGGTTGAAACCAACCTCAGCTCCACAAATACTATCTTAGCCCCCTGATAATAATTTCCTGATAATGTGATATTCTTACATTGTGGAAAACTGACACCGTTGTCCAATTTGTTTGGAGCAACGGAGCACACAGCATTGACAGTGAGGTTAACCGTGCGGTGATCACAGGGATATTAGGAACATTACCCACATGAATTTCCAGATTAAACCTATCGACGACACATGTTTGGAGATAGAGTTTCGTTTATGATAATACAACACTCGCCATAGCAATTGTCATTGTTGAGTAATGAATGGTGATAGTGATGGGCACGCTACAACCTAGAGTTGGCTGTGTCGGGTGGTGGTGGGTTTTAACGGCACATTTATATATTAACGCGATCTAACCCAAAAACCTCTCATGGATGATATTGGTCGCGAAAGCCTACATGTTAAACATAGAGTTGGCAAGGAAAAATATGTTTACCTTTTTTTTAAATGGGTACTGAACTTTCTAATATAAAAAATACAACAAGCCGTGCGGTACTTTTGCATGCACAATGACTAACAGAATTACAGCCTTTTCTACACAAAAAAAAACTGGCCTTTGTACCAAAATGTAAATCTGTGCCAGAAATTGAATTATGCAGGGTGCAGATGTAATTGTATTTACTTCGTACTGTGGAAGCACTCGTGAGTGATTAGGTTATACATTGTCTGGGAACCATTTGAATGAGGCAGTTTTATTCAGGGGGGTGGGGGGGACGGTATCCTGGCTCCAAAAATGTAGAGACAGCACCTGCCTGGGCTTAGCTGCATATTCTGTCACGACTGCCGATGACGTTTAATTCCGAAATGATAATCTTAAATTAATATAGTTTCAAAACACCTCTCATGAGCATGCCAAATGGTGATGCGTGACTCCATCAGAGGGAAATCGATTCACAATTTCCCCCCCCCTCCTCGGAATAATGCTCAAGCTGCGCAAGTGTTCGGTAACGCAGACATGCGCACCCTCTGAAACACAAGACATATCCCAGCCCGCCCTCCCCCCCCCCCCCCCTTTTCACAAGGATGCAAGGGGGGGACTATTAGACCAAGAGTCACGCTGGCTTTAACAGGTGCTCTCCACCACCGTGCACGCATGCAATCGACGCGCAAGCACGCACGCCGCGCCACCAGGACATTTCGCGGCACTTTATTGCATCGCGGGGTAATTTAGCGCGGAGATTGACGGAGCAAATCCAATTAAAGCGGCGCGGAGCGCGCGCGCTGACCGTGGCGCGTGCGGGCCCGCCGTCCGGGACGACTCCGTGCAGCGTGACGCTCGCCTCCGCGTCGAGCTGCACCCACGCCGCACGGTCCTGACAGCACGCGCGCACAGGGGGGCCCATCACGGACAGCAGCCGCAGCAGCCGCAGCAGCAGCAGCTGCAGCTGCACGAGCAGCAGCAGCAGCAGCAGCGGCGGTGGCAGAGGCAGAGGCAGCGGCGGCTCAGGGGACCAGGCGCTCAATAACGGCAGAAAGGTTCCCCCCCACGGCTACGGCGGGACCCAGAGGCTGTCACAAACAAAATATTTCCGGACATCAAAACTAATGCCGGGCCCTCTGGGAATGTTTTTTTTTTTTTAAATAAATGTTTTGCTGCAAAGCAAATGTTTGCGAGTGATGGTCATTAATGATGAAGGTGGCGGGGCGGGGGGTGGGTAAAAAAAAAAAAGCACCGATAGATTTGGTGTTAGAATTATGATGAGGGTTTGGAGTGAGATTTAGGGTTACGGTTAGGGGTAAGGATGGGATTAAAATTACAGTAGGGGGAGGTTCTGTTGTAAAAAAAAAAGAATTCGCTACTCGCGAGGTAGTGAATTTGATTCTCAGTCCGTGGTCAACGCGGCCACCACCCCCCCGTGGTTTATTAAAGGGAGACAGCCGTGCTCTCTCTACGGAGAGGCTGACCTTCATCATTCACTGCGTGGAATTTCCATCTCAACTAAACTATGAGCTATTTTTTTGGTATTGTACTAGATAAAGCCCACTGGGCTATATAGCTCTTTTTCATCAGCGACCTGGCCACAATTGATAGCTCAACGAAGTGGCTTATCGTGTGTAAATGTACAGCAGCCAAATCTTCTAAACGCATCTTTCCACTCCACAAGCCTACGACCAAATCAACCTGAATGCATTGATGGCCATTAATGATGATGAGTGCTTCCCTGTGTCTAGTTGATGTTCTGGTTAGAGATCATTCTTGGACGGAAAAGGAGGGCCAACTGGAAATCAATGTCTTCCACGAAAACTGCATTTAATGACATTAAAAATTCGATGAGGATCTGGCATCATTTAGAGGTATAACACTGTTCAGTTTCCCATCTAAAACAAGGAATTTCAAGGCTGAGCAACTTGTGTTGATATAGAAATAAAGGGTTTAGCTAACACTTAAGTCTGTCTTAAGTCTGTTTAATAAGGAAAGCTTTAAAACACGTAAAAAACCTTAAATGAATAGCATTTGAGCTTCAACAAAATAATGGACATTGGGAAGTGCTGACATGAGCCTGGATAACCACAAGAAATTCATATTTATATTGAGTCAATTTCTCACCATCTCCAGCACGCGTGTGTCCAGCAAAGTCCTGATGTCCACATCACGAACACTCCCCTTGTGCAAGCTGCCGAGAGGGCAGGTGATGTTCACACACCTGGCCATGCCACCGCATGTCTACAAGGCAGATCACGCAGGAGCACACTTTATACAGCACCTACATTTCAAAATCCTTTTTCCATTTATTGCGCATCAATCAATCATACGATGTTTTATTTATCTATCATTGGTATTTATTATATCCTGGAGAACCAGGATATAATAAATTACGAAAAGTCAATTCAATGTGCTTCCATGTTTAAAAGAGCAAAGGGGCCATATTCCTCTATAACAGTGGCCATACGCCATTGGTAGAAATTGTGCCATTACTAAGTAAATCCACTCTTAACTTGACACGGGACCGCACTTGTTTTATGAAACTTGGAGGGATAACGGGTCAATGAACTAATGTTAATGCTCAAGATTCCACGTGTGAGTTGCATGCTCTGCCACAGCATCGCCTTCAAAACAATGTGACATGATCTTTAACATTCCATTACAGCAGGCTGCAGACTCGGACTATTTTTAAAGAGGAGTTCTGTTTGCCCGGGACAACTATTTGATGGTCATTTTACTCACCACTTTCAGGTGCTTAGAATTGATGATGTTGATCAAGTTTTGAAAAAATCCAGGGTTGCTTTTCACATCCGGGTGGTGACAATTTTCAGCTGAACCGTCAATTACACAATTGGCTGCCTGGCCTCCTACCTGCGAAGAGAAAACACGTGTTTACTTAGAATAAAACACTTGGATCCGAGGTATTTTATCTTTAACACTGAAACAGTCGTTTTCCACTCCACAAGCCGACAACAAAATCACAATGAATGCACCCATTTGGATCGTTGTTCAGATGCTATGCATCGTTAACCCTGGTTAGCGGCTGGATGGGAGGTTGCCTGAGAATGACAGAGGTGTTGTCGGCTTGGCCTGTGAGGTGGACAGATAATGGGAGTACAGAAATGGATTCTTGCATCTCTCTGTTAGAAGCTTTGTGTGTTACCCCCATTGTATGTATGTGTGTTACTCCTCTTTTACTATAACTGTGCAGGTGTTGACTATCGGGTGGTTAGTATTGTAGGAGGAAACTGGAGAGTATTTGTATTACTTACTACTCCTGTGCTTGTGCATTTATCCATAAACCTACACGTTAGCGATCGCTCCCAGATATGTCTTTCTAATTCGAAGCAAGACTTTTTGTCCTGCTTCGTAAATTACACTATGTAACACGATTTATTTTCCCTGGATAGTAAGTGTTCTCTTTTTTATTGCTTATGCCTAAACAGTTTAGAAAATGGCTATTATTCTCCACAAGCTTTGATTTCGTGACCAGGACTTTATATGAAGCAATGACACAAATGCACACCACGTTTTCTCATTGAAAATAGGTGCATTTCAAAATATCACTGTCCTGGTCACAAAAGCAAAGTTTGTAGGTAATAATAGCCATTTTCTGTACTTTTGAGGCATAAACAATTAGGAAATAACACTTAGTACCCAGGAACAATTTATTTGTTGTTATACAGTGTTATTATTGTAATGAAACAAGTTTCCAGGAATGTTTATTAAAAAAAAGTTTAAAGTTCCAGCACGAAAAACCGACGACACATTTAAAACAAGTCTCATCAACTATACAACAAGCCTCACTGACACGTGATGTTGGTTGATTTTAATGAATGATTGTGTGTCACGTGGAGGAAGATATCGGTATTAAAGTGGCAGTGTAGTATATAACTCCACTGTACTCTGCCATTTTTTTTCAATAAATAGATATGCCATGCTTATGCATTTCACATAAGTAAATGCCAGCCTCCGTGTTTACCTTGTTGAAACAAATGCCTTGGGAAATCTTCTCATGGACGGCTCTCAGTCCACAAAATTGTCTATTTCCCCTTTTCAACAATGAAGCTATTTCTACCATAATATATAAATGTCAAGAGACAGTTCAACACATCCATGTTAAGAGTAGATAACCATTCTCATTTGCATCAAATTAAACAGGTTATATATTATCCCAAGAGCATATTTGCAAGTGATCATTCTTTCTCCTTATCAAATTAGCTTATCTGCAAGATTTTAACAAGAGCACTTATTTTAATATTAAATGAGTGTGATATTAATCCCTTCACCTTTAATCCCCAAGAAATGAAACATTTATTAAATAATTGTCAATGCCTTTAACCCGCAGCTTCTGACACGTGTATGGCCCAGCCAGAAAGGGAACACAATCACACGAACGCTGCCTCTCCATTATTCATTCACTCATACATCCCAGTGGCTCCGGTACCCTTCGCAAGTGTACACGTGCATGTAAATGTAAATCAGTGAGAATATTAATGAGGCCAACGATGGCATGCATTGCGCAAGCCTTTAATAGAAGGCCGTCCATAAATGACGTCACGCACCTAAGCGGGGGGGGGGGGGGAGAGGGTCAGACATTTGTGACGATGTGTGACGAGGGGGGGAGGGGGGGTGTTTGAGAAATGTGACGTCACAACAAAATGCGCAACTTTAAATAAAATTTAAACAACACGTTCTACTTAAATTTTGATTTAAAGCTTTCGTGACTGCAGGGATTCATATTCTTGGTTCTTTCGGTAAAGTCGCGTAGAAGGGAAACAATAAAACAATATAAAAAACAATAACATTTTATTGTAAAGTCATGTAGAAGGGAAACAAAAAAACAATATAAAACAATAAAATGTTATTGTACTCTTTGGTTCTATTGGGTAAAGTCACGTAGGTAAAAAATAAAATAACAAAAATCACGACGTTTCGGCCACAACACAAGCGGTCTTCATCAGGTGAAGGGACGAGACTGTCTGACGAGACTGTCAGCGCTGTCCTCCAGACAGTCTCGTCCCTTCGCCTGATGAAGGCCGCTTGTGTTGTGGCCGAAACGTCGTGATTTTTGTTATTTTATTTTTTACCTACGTGACTTTACCCAATAGAACCAAAGAGTATGGATCCTTGCACTCACGAAAGCTTTAAATCTAGAAATGTTATTGTTTTATATTGTTTTTTTTATTGTTTTATTGTTTCCCTTCTACGTGACTTTACCGAAAGAACCAAGAATACGTTCTACTTAATTAAATAGAATTGTTATAACAACACTAATTTTGATTAATTTTCATGATTAACTTGTATTATTATTATTTTAATTTATTAAGGTCACCTTTTATTAATAGTATAGATTATATTATAATGTTAAACATAACAACCGGAAGTCAAACTACGTCACACTTTTTTCGAGAATAATACTTCGTCAGGAAGTATATTAAAAACGATTGATAGTTTCGAATAATACTTTTAAAATCCCATGGGAGAATCATTTTGATTCTAATTATTCTACCAGGGCTTTTCATTCTGTGGAATGAATATGAGATTATTATAATTGTACTTTCCATTTTGCTTCGTTCAACTACAAAGTTTCAAGTATTTTTTATAGTTATAATTACTTTTACTATTTTATAATTATAAGATAATTTTAATATAATATTCTGAACATCTGCAGTTTTAGTTAGACGTTGAATATTTAAAAGTGATTTTATGCTAAATTTCAGCTTTCCAACGCCTCCTTTTTAATAAATGTTTTCTCCTACAACATCAGAGTGCAGCGCCACATTAAATACGCACTACAATGACAATAATAGTTTAAAGCGATTTGAAGCATGTTTCATTTTCAAAATGGAAATATGGTTTTGGGGGAGGGCGGGGGGGCAGAGCTTTGTGACGTCATATTTGAGGAGGGTCTGACTTTTTGTGACGCCGTGTGACGAGGAGGGGGGGGTCAAAAATCGGCCAAAATCGGGTGACGTCATTAATGGTCGGCCCCTAACGTGTTGTTGCTGCATTTTCGTGAGGTTGAGCGCAACGTCACAAAGGGTGACAACAATAATGTGTAGAAATAACCAAGTATAATGTACACTCATTTTCCTGCACCTCCGATTCGCACGGTTGGCTCCATACGATGCGAAAACAGTTCAACACATATACACATACAAATGTATACTTACTTGGGCATGGGATGTTTGACAATGGTGACGTTTGTTGCATCCAATGCTTCATTCGAGCAATGCATAAACCAATGTAAAAATGTCAACAGTGTATCGTATAGTACATAATCGCGAGACTCCTTATGCATTCAGCAGGAGATCTCACCGCCTCAATACAATAATATCCCACAATTAACCTCAGCCATCCGTGCTATCTGACTGAGAATTGCCCAAAGTAAAGATGCCACCCCGCAATGCATTACTCACGCCACTGTTGGCAGAAAGGGCCTCTGCTTATACGACACTTTAGAGAGTAACCCAAGAGCCTGCTTTGGCCCATTCTTCCATGCTGGTTAGGCGCTTCTAGCACTCATCGGCAAATGATCGAATCAACAGGTGTTCTTAATATCTAGAGAGGCAAGGCATTTCATCATATACGTGTATAATTGGGCAGAGGAGAAGGTGCACCTTGGTCTCCAGTACAGTGAAGAGCTTGGGAGCGTCGCTCGACAGTTGCCCAGGGACCAGGAGCTGCACCCAGGCTGCACGCACTCTGCTGGGACCCATATTCGTCACCTCGCACAGGGGAAAACATCCGTTTGTTGACGATAGTGAAACACCAGCTGGGGCAAACACATGGACATAATGAGGATAATATGGACGAGGGATGCGCGAAAATCAGTGAGACGTTTTTTTTTCCCCACCCTATCCGATAGGCTTGGGAGGGGGGGGGGGCGAGATGCTGACTTGGTTGAAGTGTGAGAGATGACTAAGAGGAATAAGGGAGAGAGGAGAAGTGGTGGGAAGAAGAGACGTTGATAAAAGTCAAAATAAAAAGTCGGTGTCTTCCTGCGCAAACAATGGCCACTTTAAAATTGAATACACTTGGGTAAAGGCTTGGAATGGTAATATGAAGCGGACAGAATTATAACATTCACTAATAAGAAGGAATGCACGCATTGATGGACGGTCAGCAGAGAGGCGTGTGGGTTGGGATACCTGCTATCAGGGTTTAGAGGAAGCTCACCTTTATTGAGAAGAGGACCGTCTGTTGCAAGCACTCTGAGGTTTGGTCCCCCTTGGCAGCTTCGCCGAAGTAAAATAGCGCTGGAGACACCGTTCTACAAACAAACAACAGTCACGAGATCCACAGTGTGTTTGGAATAAATGATGTCGAGTATTTTCATTCGATAAAAATAAATCTAAAACTAAACTTTGTTTTGCCAGGTAAGGTCAACTGAGTTATATAGTTATTTTTCTGCAGCGACCTGGCCACAAGTGATAGCTCAATTAAGTGGCTTATCAATTTATAGTAGCCAAATACTCTAAAACGCACGTTGATTCTAAATATGGAGGGAAAAACCGGAGGACTTGGAGAAAACTCCATGCGACCACGGGAAAAACATGTAAACTCTAAATATACAAGTGTCAGGGTCGGAGTAGTTAACATCTCCCACAGTTTAGAGAATAGATATTTTTGAATATCCTTATTCTCAAGCTAATGTTGGGCATAGCTCATGTTTAATTGCAGCCATACAGCAGAGCTGAAAATTAAATATTACCATTGCTATGGTCTATTCAAAGCATAACCACTGTTAATATCCAAAATTTAGGGTACTAATTTTTTGCATTCATTTTTCATTTCTTAGGGCATTACAGTTCTGTGCTAATGGTAAGTCACGTGGATTAGTCGCAGGGCATTTCTTCAAAGATTATAATTCTTACCCATTGATGATCGCTGTAGCTGCATTGGTGACGTGGACTACAGCCTTCTTGTAATTGTCCTCTAGGGTGGACTCTGCTTCAGGAGTCTCACTGCGTTCAAAGCAGAACACCACAGTCCATTCATTGCCACATCACAGTTTCTTATAAAACAGGACTAGGACAAAAAAAACCCCCTTAGATCTCAAGTTGAGCATGGTCAGTAATAGTTAGAAGTCATAATCGACCTGAGTTTCATACCTGACCACAGCTCACACGAGTGGCGAGAGATTTCTGAATTGGTCCTGGGCCCTTGTCTCAGCAGCCGATCACTGGCGAAGTATGGTCAATTCACCTCCATGGACTCGTCCCCTCCCTACGTTTGCCCTCTCACCTCACTCTGCTCGCCTCAATGTGCTCTCTGCAGCAGAAAACTAGCGCTGTTGGCAAAAGCTCTCAACCATCCTACGCTCAATGGGAAGTCACTAATTCTCTGCTGCTACCCTCCAAGTTGAGTATTCTCACCTCCCCAACCATCCGTGCCACCAGCTCCCTGCTCCTGTTCAAGTCAGACCTTCTTCTGCCTATAACGGACTGCATGACATCTGTAAAGTGACTACAACCGGACATTACTTGAAAAACGTAAACACATCCCTTTCATCCCCGTGATGCACAAATCCTGCTTTGTGTCTAGGGTCTTAACATGCACTTGCATGTACATGCTCTATAAATCCAAATTCTATTGATGTAGTGTGTTATATATATATAAGTATTTAAATATATGATATATTACGTGTATTTATGCCCTCATTATTCATTCCCGTAGGCAGGAGAGCGGTAAGTATGTTTGTGTGTCACCCTGTTGATGCAGGACCAAGACAATTCATCGTGCCAGAATCATTAACCGTCGTACTTTTGCTAATGTCCAATTTATTTTGAAGAGAGAATCATTAAGTTACATTAACAGTATCGTCCATAAATCAACTCCATTATACCGATCCTGCTAATAGGGAGGGCCTGATTATAACACCATTATAAATCTCCATGCCTACAATAAAATTAGACGCAATGCAATTACCAAGGTATCAATTGTATGTCTGGTAAACAGCTCAAGTTTGGTTCAATGTATCTACTATATACAGTACATGCTGTTGTTGGAGGGGTCTCATATTTAGTGCAATTACTGTTTGCATGACTTTCACAATGCTCAGTAAACCCGGGTAAGTCCGTGTAACATATAAAAAAGCAAATCGGGAGATTTGTCTGCTTCAGTTCAGTTACAGCTCCCTGTGGCTAAGCTCCAGAAAATATCCTCCCCAGCACTCCCACCCTGCTACATTCTTGGTTCTTTCGGTAAAGTCACGTAGATAGAAAATAAAATGAAAATAAAAGATAATAAAATAAAATAAAAAATAAAAAGAATTAAAGCAAAGAACCCACGACGTTTCGATCGCCGGATGAAGACCGCTTGTGTTGCGATCTTTAATTTGATTATCTTGTATTTTTATTTTCTATCTACGTGACTTTACCGAAAGAACCAACAATCTGAATTCCTGCAGTCACGAAAGTTTTTAGTCAAAACCCCACCCTGATGTTGAGAGGATTCGATGGCATGCGGTTCAGGGGACCAGGGCCCGCTGCAAAATATTCATTGAGAAATAAATCCCTGACAACACAACTGTGGCGATTCACGCTCATCGACTTAAGAAGAACGAGGCTTTATTTACCCTTTCTGGCAACAACACTGGCGGTGGTCAGATGTTCAAACACCAGACAGACGCCCATTGCAAGGCACAAAGTCTGCGTTAGCCACACAGACTTGTGGCAAAACACGGAGACAAATATTCTCTGATAATTGCATTTAAAGGTCCCTTAGATGTAACTGCTCAACCAGAGCTATTAATGCTTCGATATTTGCATTTCCTTTGTACTCTTCGCCTATTGGTGTTCTCTGGTCTGGTGAGACAAGGCCATAAAGAAGGCTGTCTCTGGTGTAGGCCAATGAGTTTCAAAGACGATGCATATATTATCATCAGAGCATGTTTGTTTGCATTTTTTGCCACAATAATGTGTGGTTAGCGCAGCATTGATGCCTTGCAATCGGTGTCTCTTGAACATCTCAACACCTGGGTCATTTCCAGAAAGGGTGAAGCCGTTGTGTGTCGAGCTAACTACATGGAGACGGCTTCTGGAGGCAACGCGTTTATTAAGCAACAGACTCAACTGACAGCGACTGTAACACGAAGGGGTACGGCCCCTTCAACGCGACAGCCTAAGGGAGGTACAGCCTCCCTTATAGTGTGTCCTACACACCCCGGCTACGCTCCACACACTCCCTGGCCATGGCCGCTAAGGGAGGCTAGACCGACCCGACCTAGCCAGGGTGCTGGTCCCATCACTGGTCCGCTACAACCGGGCTCTGATAAGAGCCTCGGTTGATGGTTCCAGGGTGCTGATCCCACCACCGGTCTGCTACAACCTGGCTCAGACAACTCGGTTGAGGGTCCCAGGGTGCTGGTCCCACCACCGGTCCACTACAACCTGGCTCTGACAACTCGGTTGATGGTCCCAGGGTGCTGGTCCAGTCTTCAGGTCTTCGGACGTCTTCAGGCTTGAGTTGGCGAACACTACCGGACCTGTTCAGAGGGCCGGCTTTTATCCCCAGGTCGGGCTTACCCCTCCCCTCATCACCCCGTCTCCAGAACCTTCCAGAAATGTCTGGGAGGTTCTGGAAAGGTCTTCAAGGGTCTTAAATCTTAAAGGGTCTTAAATCTTAAAGGGTCTTAAAATCGGCCTGTGGCCCCTATCCCCCCAGCCCTTGGGGGTCTGGGGTGTCAACCTCCGGTCACGGACCACCCAGGGGGGGGGGGGGGTTACCTTTGGTCAACTCCTACACAGCTCGTTTTTTGACCCCTGTCGGCCCCTGAGCTTGGTGGCAGGTAAAGCGACCTACAGCGCCTTGGCGCAACACTGGCAAAAGAAGGTCCCGTAGCTCAGTGGCTTTAATACTAAATTCTCCTAGCGTGACATTTGATAGGTCTTCCAGATTTTTCCATGAGGAAATTTTCGTCTTTGATACAGGATTCATGGAACACCATTCATGCTACCTAATCCAATGCACCACTGAATTCTGCGCATTCTAAAAGAGATCGAGGAATCGACAGCACCACGAGAAAATGTTTTGCCGAAGGGGAGACAATCAAAATGCACACTGATAGGTCAACGGCCTTATCGCTGTCCTGCCTTCAGCGCAGCTCTTATCCCAGCAGGTGGGTGTCTCATGTATGGCTTGCATCACCTGCCGGTCGAAAATATATTTTGTCAAATTGGATTAGCAAGGTCACCAATTCAACATCCCGTGGATAGTGACCGGCTTTCCTCTGAAGTGGTTGGAGCACTTACATTTGTAAGTCTCAGTGATCGTGAGTGTCTCGCAAGGAATACTCGTAACAACTAAAATCATTGTGTCTAGGACATTTTAATTGCACATCAATATTTAAACAGCAAAGCATTGTTGTAAAAGTGTGAAATTGACGAAGAGCATGGGATTTTATTCTCACCTTTTCACAGTTATATTAAACGGCAACTCTCCCTCATCCCCGGTAAGCATGTTGGTGTCAAACAAAATGCCGACTTTCCTCTGCAAAGGAAAAATGCACAAAATGCATGGTTAATGTATATATGGTGAACTTCTTTTCACGTGCTCATCGAGCCATGCTGATAAATGCAGATTAAGCACAGCATCTGTGCTTTAATGGTGACGTGCTAGCGGACAAGGTTGTACAAACCGTTGAGTTGTGTTCAATCAACTGGGGTCCTAAGTTGCACACCAGTGATGAAGCTGTAGGTGCACAACTATGATGCTCATCACCCTGCGAAATACGGGAGCAAAATAATTATCAGTTTATATATTTATGGAAAAAAAAACAGCACTCAACGCACTCATTAATAACACCGTGGGCTAAAAAGGACACGTATATAATCGGTAACGTTTTGGGTAATGGCTCTTCTCCATGGCACATGAATAGGCCACAGGACAATACGAGTTGGTGATTGCACTTTACACAATGGTGCCTGATGAGAATTACAATTTTCAAAATGATTTCTGATGACCAATTTTCAGTCTATTAGTAGCAGCAGCAGCATGACTGAGTATCTCACAATAAAACCGGAGTTGGACCCTACACGTGTTTGCTATGGTCGTGGTGCTCTGTTCTCCATGCCGCTCAATGTGGCTGGTACCACGATCGTTGAAGCTAAAGAAAAAAACATATCCTCACGATGGCACTGGATAACCAGACGTGTCCTGTCTTCCTGCTAAGATAGCAGGGCAACAACCCCTCATATCCTGAAAGAGTGACCCCCATTTGATAAAGTTTGACCTCATAATGTCGCATTCTTTATCGAACGTATAATAGGATATTAACTTATGACATGGAATGATTTACTTTGGTGCTGACGAATGACTTCGATGCTTAAACTACTCAATCATAGTGTAAGGGGAAACAGAGTACAGACTCTATGAGATATACTGTGCTACGATACAGTTATTAGTGGAGTATGAAGACCCATCAGTGTTAACATTTCTCCAATACTCCCCGAAACATGCAAGACGGTCGATTAATTAGCCAAGCACCTCATGCCTGCGGTGACAAGTGCTGCTTGCACCTCAGCACGATGCATTTCACAACCGTTCTCACGCAGACCAGAAACATCACCAGCAGCAAACAACTCGAGATAGACTGCACTTTGGTACGACAGAAGACATCACTGCGTGCAAACCAATAGGTAATGTTATATTTATAAAGGCGATACTCATGAAACTACGGTATATCGCCGGGACTATCAAATCAGTGTAACCATAGTTTTTGGTAAATTTCCGCAGTTATGTTGCCTAGAGGAATGTCCTTGTCGAACTTCAATGACTCAACAAGCACTTGGACAGACAGCAGCAAAGAGTTAATTACGTGTAAATTAAGTGCACTTTTGTATGTGGGGGGGGGGGGGGAGGCACCGTGGTTCATGCACTGGACTATATGAACCCAGTGGCAGGAGTTTGATTCCCAACAGTGATTCACATCAGTGGTGCATGACATCTGAATAAATCAAAGTGGTAAAGTATGGTCAAACAATCCCCATGGCCAATGGTGCATGTGATAAAACCTTCATCCGGCAGTGAATTTACAAAAGGAACTGTGAGCTACGAGTATAAATCGTTTTGAGCATTTACTATACAGCACATTGCTGCACTCCATACTGAGTGCATTTTCTTGAATGGCTCTCTCATCCGTGATATCGGAATATCAAGTATCATCCCTTGTCAAGAACACAGTGGAGCCAACATTGGTCCAACATTTGCCTTTTAATAAGTTAAATGTACGAAGATGCTTTGACCCAGAAGCACCAGGCCAATGGTTTAAATGCTACATAAAAAAAAAATCACTACCCATTCTACAAAGAAAATCAGGTTATTAGTGTACATGGTGTTGTATGCTTTGGGAAGATAATGCATCCCCCTCTCCAACGCAGCAGAGATCATGCAATGTCCCAGCTAGTGCTAGGGGGTATCTGCAGGGAGGGGCTATGGTAGTAGACTTCAGACTGATGTCCGTTTTAAACCTGTGGACATTAAAGAACGCATGCAACTCGTTGCTACACCGAAAATTAGTTACTGCACATAATATACATATGGAAGGTGAAAAAATAATCTTGAAAATTTGTTAAAAATCAATGTGTCCCCTGTGGGAGCTTCATGTCCTTGTAAATGAGGTATATTCATCTCAATGGATCTATCCAGAATTACAGTATCCAAATAAAAATATTAGATTTAATTGCTGTCAGTAAATCAATGCACGTTATCCTGACAGGGCTCCTGAGATTGAAAGCACCTCCGATTAGCACGGTTGGATGCTTACGGTGTGAAAGAAGTTCAACATACATACATACAAAGCGTACACGTGTGGGCAGACCTGTACGAGAGCCTTGATGTAGTGCAGCGGGCGTGGGAAGGCCACAGAGAGAGAGGAGCCATGGGCAGAGTCTCCGCGGTTGTGTACGCTAACGTGCATCAGCAGTGTGCGTGTGTTTCCAGCCACCACGTTGTTCCCAGGATGCTCGGAGCTACACAGAATGACAGAACAAAGACGAAGATTATGTACGGTGCGAAAGGCGTTAAACACATATACATACACACAAAGATCCCCCGTGTAGCCTGAACAGAGTGTTGGGGCAAGTGCTGTTCATGAGCAACTAGAAGCGGCACACGAGGAGGTGGGTGGCCAGCACCGCGCCCGGCAGCCTTTGTCTCCCAAAGGCGGCCGGTCACCGTAAAGCATTTAATCAAGGTAATTATTGCTTATGACCTGCTATGACATATGGATCACAAATGCCAACGTAGACATAAAATAAAAACCAATTTGTTTCGTAAGAAGCGTGGAGTAGTGCACGCTTGGAATTCGACCGCGTGACAGGAAGAGGAATACATGGATTTGAGATCTTCTTAAGTAAAGTGGCCTTGGGCAGGAGACATTGTCTGGAAGGGATCATGACCGGTGGCTGAGAGTACTGACAACAGTGGCAGCCAAAGGAGAGATCACACTCGAGAGGGCATCGAACTTCATGCAGCAGTACACATATAGACGAGATTGCGTACCCAGAATGAATAAACACGACCTCCACCCAGAGGTCAGGTGTACAGTTTGTGGTCACAGAGTGGCACTGGAGCAAAGTCTGGAACACATTCGCAAAAGGAGAAAGTAAATAATACGAAGCATACGTAAAAAAAAAATCAATCTACGTGAATATCGCGCCATTGTTTAATAACAATTGTGCCGAAGTTATTCATTTTGCCGAGTTTTGAGACTATCTTTCAGGTGGGTCCAGCTGCTTAGAAGAATTGAGTGTGTGGTGTGGAAACCGCAGGAGCCAGAAAAAAACCACCACACAACACCGCCGTCTCCTGGCCACATCAAAGCTCCACGTCTGCAACACCTGGGACGAGTTGGTGGTCACCCAACCAAGCCCGAACCAGGCCCGAACCTGTTTAGCTTCAAAAGATCCAACGAGATCTGGTGCATGAATGGTGATTTGGTCATAGATAATTTGTAATGTGGTATCCTCCACCACATCTAGCATGACAGTATTACTTTTTACCACTGGTGCTTAAGCAACCACTCTAGAATGTCTGCCTCCAGTGTTTTTACACAGACATTTAAATAGGTGTATTATACATAACAAATCTGTTTTTGCAGGGAATATTAGGTTTGTTGTAATGTTCATTCTAGATTTGAAGCTTTCGTGACTGCAAGGATTCATACTCTTTGGTTTTATTCGGTAAAGTGACTTTACCGAATAAAACCAAAGAGTTTGTTGTAATGTTTTATATATATATAAAAAAAAATACTGTCATGTTTGCATACTCTGCTCGTGTAAATCTCAAGGTTATTTGTTAGAATGTGAAGTTGACAAATGCGTGTGAATATATTGTTGAAATCGATAATTTATGCAATTACATCAGGACTTTTTCTACAAAAAAACATTGTATTTATATATATTCAACACAATCCCTGCTATTGATATCAGAACACTACCACATAGTATATTTTATCAGTATAGCTTGCGAAGCAAGCTTTCATGTAAAAAAAAGTTCAGTTAAACACGTCTCTCTGTTTTTATAGAAACGCCTAATTATAACTTCGTTTCAGTCAATATTTATGCCTCAGGGCTCGCATTGCAGTAAATCTACTGTGTACATTCCAGATGGTTTAAGGATGGCATACCCAAAAATGGAACTAATGCTAATTAATACAATTACAAGCACTGCTGAAACTCTTAGCAGATAACTTAAGCCTGCTTGAAATAGGCCCTCCCAAGTTCTCCAGGCAGTGTAGATCACTGAGCATGTGGCACATGAGAGGACTTTTCTGTAAGTTGAGAGTGTTACTTGGCTCATTGACATACAGGATGACACGGAGCGGTAGGGGGGGCGTTAACGAGTGTGGTCTCTTGGGGGCGTGTGGTGGCCCTGCTGCCTGGCTGACCTGGCTCCAGGCCACGTGTCCCTGGGCTCTTGGTCGCAGCATGGGCTGGAGGGGATGTGGGGGGACATCACTGGGCCCCGCAGCCACCGCAAGGAGGCCATAGGTCACCTCCACCACCACCGGTTGGAAAACATCGACGACTTCCCGCTGGAAAGAAGGAAATTGTTTTAATGTATGTTGAACTCCTTTCGCACCGTACGTAGCCAACTGTGCGAATCCGAGGTGTGGCCGAAGAATAACCGACTAAGGAAGGACAATGAAGTAATCGCCTAACTTTCTGTTTTCCCAAATAATAATTCAGAAATGATACCCAGGTCCAAAACATATTCTTTGCTTCCTCTCACTGGCATCTCGCTGCTCCTGCAGGCGGGTGTTCCAAACGCATGATCTCAGAGCGATCCGCCAGCCCCACCGTTAAAGAATTGACTACAGCAGGCGCATTGCTCGAACTGGCCCCCAGCTCTCAAGGGGAAGATGCCCGGCGAGCCAGAGTAGTGTGCAGCACCAGCCTGCCGGCATGGCTCGGCCAGTGCCTCATTCCATTCGTGATTGTTTCCTGCTCCAGTAAGACTGTGACATATGTTGTACAAACAACGCGTTATACATACTGTTATACCTTTTACGCGATTAAGGAAAATGTGGCTTATATTTAGATTCCTACTTAATGTTAGGTTAACAAAGTAAGCTAGAAGAATGTTTAGAAATATACAGCAGCACAATACAAACAAGAATGGATTACTGGGTTTCCAAACAGGGTTAAAGTTAGAATGCAATGCTTTTTTTTTTCTTGTTTTTTATTGAACCCAAGTCAACAGTCATACCAGAGGGCACATTAATGTACGAGTAAGGCTTTGCGTGTCTTGTGATTTCGCTCTCTTGAGTCGTCTTTCGTCCATAAACAGGGGCTTGCTAATCAAGGTGTACGAATGCAATGCTTCTTTTAAAGGGGCCAGAATTATACTTAGCCGTCATGATCAGACTGGGTCATGCTAGATTTGAAGCTTTCGTGACTGCAGGAATCCATACTCTTTGGTTCTTTCGGTAAAGCCACGTGGGTATAAAAATAATGGATCACGACGTTTCGATCGCAACACAAGCGACCGTCATCAGGTGAGACGATCACAGCAGCAGGGATAACGGCTGCTAAATCACAGCAGCAGGGAAACTGCTGCTGTGATTGTCTCACCTGATGACGGTCGCTTGTGTTGCGATCGAAACGTCGTGATCTATTATTTTTATACCCACGTGACTTTACCGAAAGAACCAAAGAGTATGGGTCATACTATTTATGAAGTTGGATGAGGGATGGTCCTAATCGACCAGTAGAATGACAAACGGCTGTACATGTAGAATGTCGGTTGTTGACTACGAATCCCGTGTGCAACAGTCCACATTTTGTGCTCACATGTTATTGATGGAAAACACGAGACGAGGGCCTGCCTCACCGCCCTGCGTGTGTCATCGTAGACTAAATGCCAATGCCCTTTTCCCAAAATGTCTGCGGTCGCACGAGCGCGGGTGACAATTCAGCCACGCTCTAGCACTGGTCTGGGTGTGGCCGCGAGATGGATATCTTCAATTCCGCCTCCCGGTGCCACGTGCCAGCGCAGAACGGCACGCGTGGCACGTCGGTTATGGTGGGCTGATGTGGGGCGTGTGTGTGTTTTTTTCGGCTGAAACACAAAACCCCAGAGTTGTGAAGGACTGACCGCGAGCACGCGCGCCCCTAACTGTGTCAGCTCGCGTGAGTTGGAAAATACTGAGCAATCAGATACAGGGGGACTGGCTCCACAAATTTCCAGCCTTCATTGGCAATGCCAAGAGAAAAAAAAAACCGTCGTCAGTTCCTTGCACTCGAAATGAAGGCTCACTTTATGCCACAACTACAGATTGACTCTTTTTCCCGTACTCGTTCTAACCGAAGGGGATATTTCTGATGCTACTGTCAACCAACTTTAATAACTATACGTGTGCATCATTGCATCGTGTGCCCAATGGAAACACTAATATTTTCACTGGAACACATACAGGGACTCCTCTACTTGCGAACGCGTTTGGTCCCAGTGGTCTGTTCGTAAGTCAATTTGCTCGTAAGTCCAACTTTACTCCTGTTGATTCCAAACATGTTGTTCGGCATGTACACTAAACACGGGGAATGGATTTAAAGTTGTATAATCTCCTGTAGATGTAGATGCCACTGGTTCTTAGTGTTCTGCAGATGTAGATGCCACCACCGCCATCTATTGCACGGCGGTTGAACTTACGACTCTCGGTTCGAACAGGCAACTTGACAGGTTTGTATCTCTGAAAGTTCGTAACTCGAACGTTTGCAAGTAGAGGAGTCCCTGTATGTTGCCTTGACAAATGACGCATTTGCTCTGTGCTAGGAGATTAAAATAAATAGCGTTGAGAAATAAAACGTTTGGCTTTAATTTTACGATTATATGATGATTATAATAATACTATAGGGCTACGGTAATTTGATGTATGCATAAACTATCAGTGGCGGCGGGTGGGTTTGAACATTGGCAGGACACAGAAAGCCCATTAGGAGACGTAATATATAAAGAGTACTGTCAAATATTAATTTGTTTGAGCACAGGCCAGGGAGAAAGGCTATCGTGTGTCACCGCATTGGCCAGAAAAAAAAAACAAATACTAGAAGTGCATTCATGAAAAAAATCCATATCTGCTGTATTAATTGAAGTCGCCATGCAATTCCTTCACAGCAAGTGGTCGGGCTGCCCAAAAAACAAGCAACTTCATTAGACCTCATTTGCCAGTACCAAAATGTAATAATAGGGTTTTTCCCCTTTTTTTCTGGCAACAAAACTGAAACCTTTTTACGAGGATTCATGTCTGCATTAACCACAATACCTGCAATGCAAACAAAAAACATACTATGATAATATATGCATTGTCCGAAACTGATTGGTCCACATCAAGGGACGGCTTTCTTTTGAGCCTCGACCCAATTGGTGCTCGACCAGATGACGCCAAAAGGCGTACACTCTCATGTGCCTAGGTAGTACTGCACTGGCTTGTTTACTTCCTATTATGATCAAACATTTCTGCCACACTCTGTTAAATGCAGTGTACAACATTAAGTAATGTACAATTCATTAACTTTAAAATCTGGAAGTTTTTTTTTGCTTTCTCCCTCTCAAATTCCCTTTCTTTCTAGTGTGGCCAGGCCAACCACCACTGATGAAGATGGTCAGCTTTAGCTGTTGTACGCTGCATTCTATTATTGCAGTAGCTGCTTTGCTCTCTGGGATGGTAGCGACATTTACCCTTTAACACAGGCATTCACCAATGCAGCACTAACGAAAAGCCAGACCTGAGGAGACCTCTCCCTTGAAACGCATAGCCGAGATATTACACATGGACCTTTTTTTCCTCAAAACCTTATCATACAGCTCAGAGAAAGCAGATGATATCTTGGAAAAGATTAACACTTTTTATCGTGATTGTGCGTTGGCAGTGGAGCACAAGCACGCATCACAGAAAAAAATAACAACATTTGTCTATTACACTGCCCTGAAAGGGGAAAAAATATAAAATGTAATCGGTGATGTTTTGGGCAATGGCCTTTCTTGTATGTACGTTGAACTTCTTTCACACCATACACACCGTATGTAGCCACCCGTGCTAAACGGAGGTGCAAGAGATTGGCAAAATCGATAAGGGCAATCACATTGCCTCTCTCCATGCTGGACTCATTCCGGCGCTGCACGAGCGCTGTAAGCACGACACAATAACACTGCACCGCAGTTCAGTACTGCTGAAGGTAACGCACTGTGCAGCAGCAGCAGTTATTATACACTATATCGTACGAGTAGACAGTATAAGGTGCGACATGTGATATGATTTGGGGATTGAACTCCCAGTGTTCCCTACGTGCAATATGGATAATTTAAATAGCCCCACGTACGGAACCTCAAGTAAATGTCCAGGTGTGGTGGTACCGATATCAATTTAATGAGCACTACTTTGTGGAATATCAGTGCGAAAAACTGACCGCTCCTTTAAATTCCTGCTTAAATGTACCGCATTGGAAGCCGTAAAATGTCTTGTTTTGTTGGAATCAGTTATATTGGGTGAGACGCCAACAGGAGTGATGCATTGACAGTTATTGATCAAATAAATGCGGATTCCTAAGGACGCAATACATGCGTCGAATTTAATGTGTAAGAATCAATACATTATTAGTTGCGGTTTTATCGTGTATTTAACGGGTTCACATCACTCATGCAGTCACTAGAAGCCCTAGCATGTATTACTACAATGTTAACCAAATAATCGTTTCTTGAGTAAAAAAGCCGGCCTTGAATTATGACAATTCATTGAACTGGCAGGGAGGTAGATCGATACACCTCTAGACTGCAGCATTGTTATTAAAGTATAATCTGGTCCTTGACTCAACAGGGATGAATTTGAACAGCAGGGCACGATGCAGTGTTTGCTGGAGGCAATTGAAGGGAAGGAAGGCATTGCATTGAGAATAAACAAGAAGAGACGTTTCATCCACACAGAATCGTGTATATAAATTACATGAATGGTGCTTCATTGAGAGCACTAAACGAAAGCATCTTTCAAGAAAAGGATGCAATTTACTCATGGCAAATGTAGTGAATCCCGCAGGCAACGTACCTCCCAGAGATTCATTAGGGCTAGACAGTCTACAGACATCACCACATGCGAGACGTCAACACATCTCACCCTCATAAGGGCTCATCAGAGAGACTGCCACAAAGAGCCCGGGGTCCTGTTTTTTCCAAGGCGACCAACGTTTAAAGCGTAGGGGTCTTGATAGTTGCAGCAACAAGCAATGGTTATTTAGGTGTGACCTATATTGCCAATTGGGGAAAGAGGAGAAAATGATGAGGTTGACACATGGATGAAGGGAAATAATTATGCAAATCATAAAAAATAATCCTGGCATATATTAATGTAATAAAAAAAACAACTAATGGGACATTCTTTGCTGGCAGTGTACTCATGCAGAAACATCAACCTCTCAAAATGTTGATGAGCAAGAATGTGGCATTTCTTCACCTGGCAGATCTTATTTTGTATTCAACATTCCAGTGTAGGTTAAACACGTTGTCCTCAAGAGGACAGCTGAGGGTAGAAACATATCCATGGATATATGATCCGTGATTTGTGAAAGTGCACAGATGTTCCAGATTGGTTTGGAGCACTGGGTATGATTGTGATGGGGGAGCCATTGTGAAATGGTTAGTCCACGGCAAGTAAATCCAGTGACATGAATTAAATTCCTAGACATCGCTACCAACAGTAATCAGAATTGGTCTTGGCACCTAACCTTCACCAACTCACACTGACCAGTGTGGGATGCGTTCGTATAGCTGAATATTATTTTAAGAATGATTGAAATTGGATGATTATTATTTGGTATTGAGATAGTAAATATTTTAACGACCTTGCCCATCACCATCATCATGATGATGATGTTTCCTTCACGATTGTGATCATCATCACCATGAAATAACAATAAAGAATAATTACAAAAAATGAAAATAATCCATAATTTATTAAATAAATTTAATAAATAACAGTTCACACATTAATTATTCATTGATTCATCTTGTGCATGCCAATTACTGGCTTTGTGACAGTTTCTCCAAGGGGGACCCCTTCTTGACGCAGCACAGATGCGTTTTACCTCGGTGAGCGTACAAGGATGGGATTGAAATTAATTAAGGAATTAACTAATATTTCAATTGTGCACCTCTGACTTGCAGTCCACGCATGTTTTTGCAAAAATATACATTAATGGAATATAAGGGATGATGGAAATGTTTCTGATTTATTAATCAATCCTGTGGCTTTACACAGATTTGTGTGTATCTTGAATTTGACCTCTGAGCTGGAATGATGTAGTAGCTCATACACTACACTACCATCCCAGTGAGCTAAGTTTAATCCTTGAGCCATTTGCAGTGGTAATGTATATTCAGTTTCAGGCCTGGGCCTCTCCTTAGTTGACTGGGCCTAAAAAAATGGGCTTCTCTTATGTTTATGCAGCTGAAAATTAGTACCTGGAACCTGGTGCCTCATTAACGTAAAGCGAATTGTGTGCAGTACATGAAGATGATTTAAGTCCATGCCTGGAAATTAAGCTTACCAAGTGTATGAAGGCGTACCTAATGAAGACGTGAAGCTGAGGAATATGAGAGGTAGCAATGTTTTTGGCAGAGACATTCCAAAGACCGCGTTCAGATTATGCCATTGATAGAAAGGTGTTTTTTGAAACTATTGTGTTGCCATTTGCCTAACTCTATGCATGCATGCAAGTATGTGTGTGCTTGTGTATACGTAACAGTGGTATTGTGAATACTGTGCATCATTCAGAATAAATGCATAAAATTATATTGTGTACAAAGCTATTTCATACGCATGTACTGTATATATAAAATCATACACACGTAAACAGTTGTTCTATGTATATACTTTAGTATGGATTGGTCTATATAGTTTATAAGGAGTACTTTCACTAACCTTCGAGTAAAATTACGAAAAAAATACTCGCAATAGCAGTATCTTAGTATGTATCATGACATGCAGCATCTAATTTACCACATTTATACCTCAGTCTAAATGAGGGAGTGTGATCTTTAGCTCACCTTGATAATCCCTAAGCTCTCTTGGCAATTGTCACCAAGACGCACAGCCAAATGCCTGGATACAAAGCTGGCAGAATTGTTGAGCGATCCCACTGTCATTCGGGACTGGAACCCCAGCTCCCGTCTTCTGATATCAGCAGTGAGATTGTACTGCAAGCCTGGTGAACCAGCACGCACAAATAACTCAAGAGGTGTGTGGCGAGCTCACTGCAGTCTTCTCACCTCGAGTGAACCTGGCGATCTAAGGTGAAATTCCAGCCATGAACTGGTGGCTTTGGTTAATAACCTCTGTGCATGAAAGGGCACGAGCATACCCTCATCTAGCAATGGATTGGTGCCAGGTTGAATTTTGAAAAACTTTTTTTTTCTGATTGTTATTATGTTTTCAACGAACATCCACCCCCCCCCCCCCCCCCCCCCCCGCTGTCGTGGCTTTAATTACATGAAATATCAAGGGATGACTTTTAGCTTTCAAGGAAGATTGTATTGAGCGAAATTAATCATTGGGAGTCATCAACAGAAGTTAAGCACATGCTGGTAAATGTGTAAGCACACACAGAGTCATAACAGCCCTTCCTCATTTATCTTCATAGACCACGGGGGCAAATGCCATTAGCTAGCAAATATCAAGACAGCTGTGGCACACTAGGTGGTGTGTGGACAGCAGCCCACGTGGCCACATTTGTCTTCCTCATGCTTACATATCGCAACAAAGTGTTCATTTAATGCTGAATCGACAGGACATACAGGCCTTGGCACTCATGTGCATCGGGATAGCAGCGATATTCACGCGAAGCAAAACACTTGTGACAACTCTCTGCCTTCTCCCATGTTTCCACCAACCACAAATGCAAGACAAAGATTCCCCGTATAGCTTAAACAGACTTTTGAGGCAAGTGCTACCAGCGAGCAGGTCGGCACGGCACACGAGGGGGTGGGTGGCCAGCACCACGACCGGCCGCCTTTGTCTCCCTAATGGCCCAGAGGACCGCTTCAGATAATCGTCACTGGTGTTGGCCGTGAGCGAGAATCGAACTCGGGTGGCCGCGTTCGTAACGCAGGGCACTATTCGCTGCTCCACCGCTCCCCTTACGCGCATACGCAGGCATATACACCGACAAGTCACCTATTACGCTGGGTAGGTTCCGTCCGGTGATTGTGAAGCACACCCTGATGATGATGCAAGTGACTGGTTGATGAGTGCCTGGACAGACCGAGCTGCTTGCGTTAACGGTGGATGGGAGCGACACGTGGGCTCTCACCGTCACCACCGCCTTAGCTCTGCGGCAACAGAGAGATGTGAAATGTGAGTCACCGCAGGGCAATTAGCACAGGTGCTTGTCAGTACTGAACCACCGTCACACGATACAGCCACATAATGAAACAAAATGTGTCAAGCCATTCGATTGTATGCATGTTAGTGTCCTGGAAATCGGTGACAATTATTTGACTACCTGAACACCACTGCAGCGTCAGAGTTAAAAGCACCAACAGTCACATCTGAAATGACAAAAAAACAAAGCATCACGTGTTTGAATGTTGGTTTTTTTCATGACACATTGACTCGTTCATATATATGTATGAAACCTTGAGATGATAAGCATATGAATGTACACACACCATACAAAGTTACCAATGTGTTTTACTCGATGTTGACAATTATTGTGATACTACGAAACCGAGACACATTTGCTCAATAAGCTCAGCTGAGCAACGTGTTGTGTCATTGTGTTTGTAATTGCTAAGTATTGCAATGGTTACAAAATCATCATCATCATCATTCATGAACTCGTTCTGAAACGCCCATCAGTAAATCACCCTGGAAAGGGCGCAATATAAATCCGAAATATAGAATAGTAGATGAATCATGCTGTGGACAACGTGCGTCACCTGGGTAACCATTTCCGTCCTTGTCCGACTCCTCACCTGGGTCACCATTTCTCTCCTTGTCCGACTCCTGACATGGGTAACCATTTCTCTCCTTGTCCGACTCCTCACCTGGGTCACCATTTCTCTCCTTGTCCGACTCCTCACCTGGGTCACCATTTCTCTCCTTGTCCGACTCCTCACCTGGGTCACCATTTCTCTCCTTGTCCGACTCCTCACCTGGGTAACCATTTCTCTCCTTGTCTGACTCCTCACCTGGGTCACCATTTCTCTCCTTGTCCGACTCCTCACCTGGGTCACCATTTCCGTCCTTGTCCGACTCCTCACCTGGGTCACCATTTCTATCCTTGTCCGACTCCTCACCTGGGTCACCATTTCCGTCCTTGTCCGACTCCTCACCTGGGTCACCATTTCTCTCCTTGTCTGACTCCTCACATGGGTCACCATTTCTATCCTTGTCCGACTCCTCACCTGGGTAACCATTTCACTCCTTGTCCGACTCCTCACCTGGGTAACCATTTCTGTCCACGTGCGACTTCTCACCTGGGTAACCATTTCTGTCCATGTCGATAACTCCTGATATGGAATGTCCGAACATGCTCAGTTCTCCGTTCACGCTTCGACCCAGGATCCTCTGCTCAAAAGCCACGTAATTGCACATTGGTAGAAAATAACAAAAACAAATGAGTGAGAAAAAAGTTACATGTAAGTGATATTAAATAATGCATGCATAAATGTACTTATTAATATGCACTTGCTAGCAGACCTTGCTCCCATCATTTCCAAGACCGACCAGAGGAAAAATGCACGTAGCATCATGCACACCTCTATCTTGTCCAGAGCTTATGCAAGGTCAATTCAGTCATTAAACGAGTACTTGATGCGGTGTGTAAACATCGGTGTTTGGCTCACAAAGGAATCCAGGCATAGTGGTTGCCACTCCACCTCCTTGTGAGTTGTGCCAGACTTAATAGGTGCTCACAAACACCTCTAATTGCTTTAACGAAACTATTGGTGGATATGTGGGTGCTCACTTTTGGGACTCGCCCCAAGTCTTGAAAGCTTAACAGGTTATCTTTGCCGTCACGTGTGTGTATGTGTGTGTGGGGGGAGTGGTTAGCGTGCTGCGCTACAAACTCAGCGATCCGAGATAGATTCCCGCTCAAGACAAACATGGGTGACAATTGTACCTTATAGCGGTACCCCGGGGTACCAAATAATACAAAATGGCCAAGGCAATTAAATATTTTATTTCTTGGACACTATTTTTTCCAGGGGTGTACTTCACTCCGCGACTGGGGTACCAATCAATCCGACATCAGTGCTACTCCGCGATGTCGAAACACAGCGAGGACGATTGCGCTGAAACCCTGAACGCCCGAACGCACCGTGGCGGTGGTGGTGGTGCATCGTGAGCACAGCTCGTCGAGATGAGTCGATTGCCGCATCGCCGATCATCAACAGACTAAAAATGACTGCACCACGGACATTATGCGAGAGCTCGCTAACAGCACTTGCTTTAACAGTCTATTAAAGGCTATATGGAGGATATTTGTATGGACATGGCGGTGTTGTGGTTAACACACTAAACTAAAATATATTCCAGCGATCTGGTTTAGATTTCCGTACATGCATACATCAATGGCAAGTGGTATTGAATCTTCCCTGAGTCAACACAGCCTTAAAGGAGTCGCCCACTCGGTGGAATATGTAAACATCGGCATTGGGGAAACAAAGTCGATGGGCAGGATGATGGCCAAACCACCTGATCCTCGTGTACCATAGCAGCCACGATAGGTGCGAGCTAACAGCACATGCCCCTATGGTTTACAAAGCAAAAGTAGAGTTCTTTCGGTAAAGTCAAGTAGGTGTAAATTACGAAAACTTCAAATCTAGATTCAAAGTAGAGGTATTTTGCAATTGTTAAAACTATAAACTATTTAATTTTACCAGGTAAGGCCCACTGAGCTGTATAGCTCCTTTTCAGAAGCGACCTGGCCACAAATTATAGCTCAACGAAGTGGTTCATCATGTGGATATTTATAGCAGCCAAATACTCTGTAAAAGCATGTTGAAAAATGTGGAGGGAAAACCAGAGGACCCGTACAAAAAAAATCCACGTGACCACGGGGAGAACATGCAAACTCCAAATATACAGGCAGCAGGGCCGGGATCAAACCCACGAGCTGTACACCAGGCGAGGCATTCAACATATCGCTACCATGGCACCTCTGTGTGTGTGTGCGGCTTAATAGGTGCTCGCTATCACTATTTGCTTCCAAGTTTCTTCAACTAAATTGGAGATAAATGTCTTTGTGTGTGGTTGACTGAGTAGGTTGTGTGGTGGCAGAGTGGCAAACACATTGACACCCCAATTCCAACTGCTACCTGTGAAAAAGAGTGGGAAATTCCAGACGGCCCCCCATTGTAGATGTACACAGCACCACGCAGGTCATCTTCATGCGGAGCGCCAATCGCCACATCTGGTTCTCAAAAGAAAGAGGCGGACAAGTTTTATTTTCTTTTTACAGGCAACGATGATGTTCCGATGTAGAGATGTCTGGCGGATTTGTCACTGACCTTCAAATCTATCATCATTTATATCGCCCAGGGCCACAATGACTTGTCCAAAGTGAGCGTTGTATGCATTGGCTCCGGAGAGAAGAGACTTCTGTTCTACCAAATTTCCCTGTGCCACGTAAGAAAACCAGTATCTTTATTTAGACTGGAGGAAGGCAATCGGACTGTCATACATTGTTAGAATAAATTAACGCAACGTTACTCACATACACAGCCAACAGTACGCTTTGCTCTTTCATAAACCAAGGGAATGTGAAAATCCCAATGCTGCATCACGGTTACGTTGCATCTGTACAGAACGTATCCCCACTGCGTCACAGTAACGTAACATTCAGCAGTGTTCATTTCTGATGGCACCATTGGAGCACCAGGTGGACATTTTATAGTTTGCATTACTTATCAACGGCGCGGGTACCGAACATCGATAATCGATCTCCCGGTCTCTTGAGCAACAACACAAGCCACGCCAAAGGCCCTCTGCAGGGCCAAACTGCTCCGGACGCATTTATCTGCCTTAACCACCCGAGTGTGAAATTGCAGCTGTTGCTCTTCTTCCACATCAGCCATACGAAAGAGATTACTTACACACCACACACACACACACATCAGCGAACACCAGTTGCACAGACATACGGGCAACAGTGGCCATACGTTCATGCGTAAACATAGCGAGGGTCAGTCGTGAAGACTGCAGCGGCTCGTGCTGCCTCCCTCTTCCCCGCTCGGTACAGCTGAAGCCCCGTCCCCACCCTCCCGTGACCAGCCTCGCACACCTGGCCGGCGTTCATGAACACATGCACCCTGCCCTCGTCGCGCGTCTCGCTGTGCTGCGGCGCCCCGACCAGTAGGTCCGCCAGGCCGTCGGCGTCCAGGTCCACGGCGCATGTGGCGGAGCCGAAGTACGAGCCGAGCTGCCGACGACAGCACAGAGACGCCCCACGGTCACCGGCTGCGCGACCGACGCAGAGGCGAGTTGCCGCCGCTCCGCTAACTCGATGGACTCTCTATTTTTGGGACCATTCATCACTGGCGGGGCGGCTGAATCGCGAGCGGAATGAAATGCATCGGTGCGAAGGATGCTCGGGTAAGTTGAGGAACGGCAAAAAGACGAGCGGACTTTTCCATCGGATTTTTTTTTTTGTAATGCATTTCATTCAGTGACTTTTGCCAAAGCAGGTGTGGGCCCACGTAGATACAATATTTACTGAATGAAGCGAGCAATTTGATGCTCGCATCTGCATAAATAATACACAACTGGCAGAATGTGTTTATGTGATTGTGAGTCCACTTGGATGCTGGACTATGACACTGGCCATAAATTACACACTGTTGTCAGTAATTTCACAGAGTCCTTAACCATGTGCATTATTATTAGGCCACTTTGGAATTCGAACTGTGAACCCCATGCAAACTAAATTATTGCCAGCGTGCCGACGATCACATACCTCTCCAACATCCTGCATACACCAAGGTTTATTCACAACGAGTACATGACTGTTAACGAATCATTACATTTACATACATACCTGTTTTCCCGAGGATTGCCATGTTATTTGCAGTTCACCCTCCACTAATGTCAGCAGGTACACCTGGTGTGCAATATAACACAAACGCTTCTTACCAAATTGCATGGCCGTAACGTACATTGCTATTTCCCGCTCATTTGGACAACCCAATGAATTCCAAAAAGTAAAGCCAACCATCAATAATCATCAATACAATGAAAATATGCAATGCAAAGCAACGACCAACAAATCACCAGACTCCAACTTGTATACAGCAAATCCTTGCCCATCGCCGGTTTTCCCATCGCGGATTTGACCATCCGCTTCAAATTTAGAACACTTTGCCGATCGCGCCCCAGTGGTTCGACCATTCGCGGTTGATCGCAAGATTCCTCTGCGCATCGTAACTGCACTGCTCGCGATAATGCTGCCGCGGAAGAATACGTGCCATCCGGTCTCCATCTTGTCTCCTAAGAGGGCCCAGCTCACGTACTGCCAACCTCCAAGTGAGGTTCTATGCACGATGTTTCTTCCTGTCGTGCACAATACTGTGCACGGATGTGTAAATCATTGTACACTACATTACGTTTTTTTTCTTCATTCTATACATTGACCGCTCAACCAAGCGTGGAGTGGTGGTCATCTCCAGTGGCAGTTCCGGGCTAGTGGTGGAAATTCCACATTCCCATGGCAGAGCCCAGTCTCAACATAGAATGATCATTGTCGCACGGTAAGCAGTTCCACGCGACTGCCTCTTTGTCACAGCGGCTGTTGAAAGGCTGCTGATTAAAGAGTTTCAGGGATCATAATTCTCATTCAATAACCCAGAGCCATGAATGTTGGTTCTTACTTTGCCCACGTTGTCTTGACGCGGAGCTCCAGCTACGACACCCAGGCTCGTTCGATTATAAAATATCCCAGCGGATACCGAATAGCCTGCATGTTAAAAGTCAACACAACAAACAAACAAACAAAAAAAGTCAACACAACAATTTAGAATTATTTCAAACACGGTATTGGAATATACATTGCTTGGTGTTTAGGTAATTTGTCGTCAACGTAAAACTTTTTCCATGTTGGGAGTGAATTGGTTGCCGTGTGTGGAGAGGTGTGCGGTGGATGCGTGACTGCGATGCGTTCGGACCCACCGAGGTAACTGTCCTTCGTGACGACGGTGTCAGGGGTGGAGAAGTGCGTAAAGCCGGAGCTAACGTTGTGCAGCATCACAGTGCCTGCCCAGTTAAAGGATCCAGGACCGCCCAGCACCATGAAGTTCTACGACGACACGGTCCCACGAACGTTACAGCAACTGAATGTCAATTGAATACATCTGTGAAGTCAACTGATTGTTACGTCGCATAAAATAGATGTTTGTATTTGTTGCCAACTTTAACAAACACACAATTGCCTTATCTCATTTGGGGGGGAGGGGGGTGGTACCACCTCAGAATCAGAACATGGATTCATACTGGAGGAATTCGATTATCTATGAAGCTCTTTTTCAACACATGTCCACCTGTGTGGCCGAGGAGGCAGCCATTCCAGCCTGGCAGGAGGCATGTTGCCGCATTTCATCGTGGGCGTCGACTGCACCTGCACGGAGGGTGAAACAATCACATTCACACCAGCACGGTCCTCATGACCACGTTGCTTTTAAGCTATAGAACCAATCTGGTCATAATTATATATCACGTTTCAAATTCAAAGTGGTTTTCAACTTAAATGAGTACTGGGAAATGCTCATATCCTGAACCAGTGATAGAAGGTGCACATCACAATAATGAACAAATTTACATTATTATGACGGAGGCAAGTCAGAGTATAAGGCAACCACCGTGGCTGCCCGCAAAGTGATACAGATTTTATTTTTAGTAGAGGAGTCAAATCCACATTTTGAGTCACAACCATCGAATTTGCAAGCCACATTGCTGTGACCACATTGGCATCCAAGGATATGTATTGCGTTTAAATTAACTAAAAGTCCAGTCCAGTTGTACCTTCTGGGACGAAGGAAAACACATTCTTCCCCCAAGTTTGGGATTTGCAGGGCCTGGCCACAGACATGATGCCACAGCAACTAGCACAGGCCATTAGCCAAGGCGACCTGATAAATTATGTTACGAACGCTTGCTTCGAACTGAACAAGTGTTAGTTCATGCACGTTCACTATCACTTGTGTGCTGATGAACTCGGAATTCGTTCCAAATAAGCTCCAAATCATAAACATCATATTTATAGCACATCATAAATTACTAGATATTAGAGTTCAGAACAGCCAAAGGCGCACAGCTTTGTCGCAAGACCCTGTTACATTATCGCTGTGTTGCTTTCTGAAATGTCCGTGGGTAAGGTAACGAGCAATCGTACAACTGAAACAATCCCCAGTGCTGGACATATCAAATGTAGATTCATTATTTCATAAACCAAACTGCTCCATAGCCATTTTCCTCGCATGCCCTTGTGCTATTCCATTAATTGTGCTACACGGTGCATGCCTGCACACCCATGGAGCACTGGCAACCGTCACTCGCATTGCAGGGATATTGAACAATGCAGGCCTTTACCGATACTGCAGGGGCTGGTGTGAGTCACTGCATCGGGCTTCAGGTCAGGAGGAATGAGAAAACAGATGCCGTGAGGAAAGATGTCGTCTGGGTTTACGTTGGCCCGGCGATGGGCACAGGCCTGGGCACATTAACAACGAGCATGACGCATCAAGGTTAATAATACCGTTCAGAGAGCTCGTAGCATTACGGTGCCTCTATGCATTGAACAAAACGTGTTTTTATTTTAAAACGCGTAACAGAGCTCAAAGGATCGCAGTCCCTCTATATGCATTATGATTTTATGTTAAAACAGTTATCAGAACTCATAGCATTATGGTACCGCTATGTATTGAGTGCGACGTGATCATGTGATATTTTTTAAAAGCCAGAATGTCATCAATATCAACAGAGCACTGGGCAATATTCATCTTTTAGCAGTCTTGAGTCAGCAGAGGAAATCCACATTCTTGTATTCAGGGGAAGTCCCTCTTTAGGACAACCACTTACTTATTTTATTGACCCATAATAGATATAGGCTGAGTCAGCCCCCGACTGAAATGTGATCTCATAATCTGCTGCTTTTGAGATAACAGCTCTGCACATAAATATCTACGCTGAAGATTACATTATAACCATCATTTTGAGTTCCGCACCATGTAATGTGTTATCTGAGAACAATAAATTTAGAATGCAATATTAAACAATTAAATTTTGTGTGCCACGTAGATTTCAAGCAATGTAGTCCTAAAAATATATAAAAATGGTCCAGAAATATATAATCGATTAATGCAGATTCCACGGTCTGATAAAATATGATTTTCTTCCAAGACTCTCCTTAATAGATCTATTTTTGGATTTCCAACTTTGAAGAACATTTCCATTGTTCACTTGATTTTCACGGTTAGGTTCTGTGGGTGCAGGGAAGGGTGCAGAACAGCAGTGCTACGGCCAACACCCAGTGACAATTATCCGAACCGGTCCTGGGCCTCGCCTAGGTCGACTCAGCCTCAAATGAGTACCTGATTCAGTGTGCAAATATTGCCACGAGGGAGACGAAAGGTGGCCGGGCGTGGTACTGGCCAACTACCCCCTCCGTGTGCCATGCCAGCCTTGATAAGTGCTCGCTAAAAGCACTTGCCCCAGCAGTCTGTTAAGGCTACACAGGGGGATCTTTGTCTCGGGGGGGCCTCAATGCTTGTGCGGACTGTTCATAAAGCGCTCACCATGACCTTGCTCTCACCACCACCAGCCTCCCTCGCCAGTGACACCCCCAGCCACTGGTCTGCACGCGTCTCCCGACATAAGGTCCCACACACATTTCCAGTCCGCTTATCTGTGGACATGCGGCAAATGCCATATCAAACAAAAAAACCACACTTTGCTGCATCTTAATGTGGATAATGACAACGAATTTTAAAAAGCACATTTGACGTACAGTACACATAGGAAAGATGCCCCATAGGGTAATGGTTGGCAATCCGGAGGTCGCCAGCTTGGTGTGATATCCCGGCGCGACAATGGAAATAATGAGCGAGTTTTTGTTTTGCTAATCTACCCGCCTTAGGCGAGCGACAGGTCCGGTGTGGTGGGATCAAGTGTGGGTGATCACACCTCTTCCAATACGTCTGGTCACCATGGAAGAGTAGGCCAATGTACCCTATAAAGATGTTGTCTGTAGCTTTTTCTAGTGGAGGCCTTTCTGCCAGCGGTGGGGTGAGCAAGCAATTGTAGGGCTGCACCTTTAAATATTGTGGGTTTACTCTCCAACACACCGGTGTGCTAAACTAGTCGCGAATTGGCATGTTTTGTTTACGTGACAAACCTTACTAATTAGCTGTGTCGGGTGGTGGCGGGTTTAACGACACATTTACATGATCTAACCCAACAAAAACCTCTATTATGGATAATATTGGTCACGAAAGCCTACGTATTAAGGCTTCTTTTAGAAGTTCGTCTCAGTTGAAGTGCCATATTCGCCGTGCTCATTGCACGATTACTATCGCTGTATTCTGCAAGGGTGCCTATATTTGGTCTCTGATATTTACGCATGTCTTGAATTGTAGCACATCTTAGACTCAATGGATGTGTTTTTCAGGGCATTCAAAACTATTTCCATTCTGTGTCTGTGTGATGTCATGACAAATTACATTGCTCATCTGCTCTTTACAACTTTGACTATGATTAAATGGCTTCTCGTCACCGATGTAATAATTAACAAACTTAGTCTGATGGCAATTGTTGTGGAAAAAAAATCTATTTTACCACTTAGGCATCATAAAATTACATTTAGCGTATGAATGTGATCCACCAAAACTTCCTGATTTCAAAATTATGGAGTAAAGGCAAGTGTCACCAGACCCATAATCCCGCCTCGTACTTAGCTCCATTCTGCAAAAGAGATTTTGCTTATTTACCGATATTCAAGATCGTGAATCTTGAGCGAATTTGTACATCAAAAAAACCTCCATCAGCCACTGCTCTGAATTTCGCTTTTTTTTACATGGTGAAAACATGGTGGATATTAAAAACACTCAAAAAACAATGCGGGTGGTTTTATTATCTGAGTGGTAAAAAGATTATTGACTGATCCCCCCCTCCTCACCCTACCCCATACATACATAAATATGCGTGAGCAGGTACTGTTAACGAGACGCACGCAAGCCAGCCAGGCAGTGAGCATACCTATGGGTAATTCGCTGCAGCTGTACCCTCCTGCGCCGTCCTCGTGGCATTTAAACACGGCGCCAGAGCGCTCAGCGCCTGACTGCGCTTGAGGAGCCCCAATCAACACCCTGGCACAAACAACGCAAGCCGTACAGATTTTCTCCGCTGGCGCCTAACGCAACACATGCGTGTGTGTGCATGCACGCGCATTAGCGTATGCATAAGTCAGTGGTGGAAATTGCAGTGCTGTATTTTTCTCTATTCCTTTATACGATGATAGAATCCTCATATTTATGAATATGTTGATGCATGGGTCACCATCTGGAGACAATTTCGTCCGCTCCGTGGTTTATTTCCCATGCCAGGTGTGGTTATGTAATCGGTAAACGAATTTAAATTGCATTTGTAGTTTACTCACTTTAAATTGTCATATACAGGAGTGACACATACAATATGTCGGTGATGTTAAGAAGACAGTTGTACGCATCTTAACCCTTTTATTTTTCAATCACGTATACAAATACCAATGCACGTTTCACTTACCATTGTGTGACATATATACACATGGTTTGCATATACAATACACTCACTTTTATTTTGATTTAAAAATTTCGTGACTGCAGGGATTTATATTCTTTATATTTTCTTGTTGTGGTTTTCACACCTGATGATGATTGCTTGTGTTGCAGTCGAAACGTCGTGAGAATTTTATTGTTTTATATTTTTAATATTTTATTGTTTCCCTTCTACGTGTTGACTTTACCGAAAGAACCAAGAATATGAATACACTCACTCATTGTGCACGACTCCAGTTTCCACACACACACACAAACAAATATACAACTATTGAGCCGACAATACATTGCACACAACTCAGTAGCTACGTCTCCTGTTTATAAGTGCATTACTTAAATATAGTCGAGACACGCACAAGTCCAGAAAGAGCATGCACCTACCAAGTGTCATTCTCATAGGCATGCTGCAACACCGAGAATCCAAAGAAAGTGCCCTTGGCTCCCCGTATGGGAGCTGCGCCTGCCACGTCCAGGTTGTACGCCAGCGCACCACGCAGGGCAGTGCAGGTGACGTGAGCCAGCAGCAGCAGCAGCAGGCGGCAGGCAAAGAGGCCAGCGGCACGGGGCATGGCACAGCAGCTGCCTGTGCTCGTGGTGCCGAATGAAACATGTGCTTTGCACAGGCGATGACTGTACGTAATCAATGATAATAATAATAATAAAATAATGAACAAGAGCAACTTTGTTAATTAATTATTATCATAACTTATGGGTGAATCATGCGCTTTTCACACACACGCTATGACTATGTAATTAATAATTATACTAATTAATTAACATAAATTATGTATGATTATCCGAATTACGTGGTAGGGAAGCATACATGTATGTACCGTATGTTGAACTTCTTTCGCATCGTACGGAGGTGGGTGGGACAGCGGGTTTGTGATGCTTTTGCATGCCTTGATGTGTCCGAGAGCAATAGCAAGGTTTGGGGATCTCTAGTAAACTTATGAATGATTATAATTTTAAAGAGAGACTGCACGCCTTTATACTCTATTAACACCCGCACGCCCCTACACGCGTCTCTTGTACAATATATGCTATTGTCTCAAAGTGCTGTCAGCCAGGTGAAATTGTGACTCGTTTTTTACATTAAATTAATGTGAATTATCTGCCATATTATTCAAATACTACGAAAAGTGATATCAATTAGAGATGTCATTAATATTCTGTAAATATGAGCTACCAGCATTAGAAAAATGGACACTCACTTTTGTTGCATACAGGTTATACATTGCTCAAAGGAGCATAAGACCTTGGATGAATTGTTGAATATGCCGACAGTAATTGAAATAATTTGTCTAAATACACACTCAAGACAACACAGGGATGTGTAGAAATGGCGCGGTGTTATTGAAAAACCATTTACGCGAGAGGACATGGCATAGTTGTCAAAGATGTATGAAAGGAGAAGCATGTTTTCACAAAATTGTTCCCACAAATTGTGGTATTCTTGAGAAAGTGTGGCAGATGTGTCCACTATTGCACAAATATTCACAGTGTGACTGAAGCCCTGGATCACGCTTAGCCTGAACATTCGGTCACCTGTTGATGTGGTCTGCGGTCAGCAGTCGCGAGACAACTTCGTGTCACGTAGAATGTTCCACAGAAACTTAAATTGATGTTGACATTGCACAACACATCATTTTCAGTCACTGAAAATGAGCATGGTTAATAGTTGTATGATACAGCTGTACTGAATATATTGTTTAATGTATTAGTTTTATTTGTGTAACAATTACATTAATTCAGTATCTTGTATTGCACTGTGCCAATATAAGTCCTGAATATGATCATAAACGTCAGTGAATATTTGGAACGTTGGAGATAACTCTGCAAGTGAAGTGAAAACAATCCACAACATAAACAATATCAAAAGGATGTTTTGTCTTTGCAATTTCATGTTGAAAATATCTGATTTCAGTTACAAAACAAAAAAATTACATCAATCTAATTTTCATTGTGCAATGCTGTATACAAATTGTACAATGTTATTTTTGCTTACGTCACAATTTGAAATTATCGTTTAAAATGTAGGCACAACCATTTTAAAGTTATGGTCAAGACCTTGACTTAGTTGACTTAGTTGGTCGTGGGTTCGATTCCGACCCTGACGCCTGTATATTTTGAGTTTACATGTTCTCCCCGTGATCGCGTAGATTTTTATCCGGGTCCTCCGGTTTTTCCTACCACATTTAGAATCAACATTCGTTTAGAGTATTTGGTTGCTAATCATTTCAACATGACAAGCCACTTCGTTGAGCTACCATTTGTGGCCTGGTCGCTTCTGAAAAAGAAGCTAATAGCTCAGTGGGCCTTACCTTTTCAAATTAAAAGTTGAAGTTGACAAAAAACGTACTGTCATCATGGTTTATCCACTGTTGCAATAAGTCAGCACATGTGTTATCTTAGTTACAATTTAAGTCGTTAAAGCTATTAAATATATGACATTGTGTATACTTAAACGCACGTGAGGATGTTTATTAGGCAATACACATTTATTCAGGTGGGATTAATTTGAAATTGTTACCGGTGACAGATTTCCATAAGAATACGAAACATTTTGTATATTTAATTGTTCTATCATGCAATTCAGTACTTAACATTGGAAAATTCCAAATCAGTATCACTGATTTAGAATATTCAACAATTCATTATATACATATATACTGGAGTCCAACGTGATTTTAATTGCACATTTTTTTAGCAATGCAAAAAGCATTGGGGTATTTACTGAAACTTGGCTGAACACACTGTGATGGAATAACCGCAGCAAAATATTTTCTCCACTTACAAGAACTCACTCGCGACGATGACGGTCATAATTGCTCGAGCTTGTTTAAAATGTACATGCTTGCGTTATTTATTTACTTGGAAGCCAGCTCCTTTCGTGCGTCGGGGGCTGTCACAAGTGTTTGCCGTGGCTTTTCTTGCACGGCGCTTAAATAAATCTGCCACCCTACGAAAATTCATGCTGCGAGTAAGTGCTGTGGCATTACGCAAGGGGAGACGCTGTGACAGATGGTGGGGTGGGGTGTGGTGTTTGCCTGTGCCAGAGTTACGTGCTTGCTGGGGGGGGGGCACCGCACCAATTCCCACTCACGTTCTCATTTTTAAAGTCACCTCTGCCCTCCCCG